CTTAAATATAATATGGACAGATTTAATATACTTACAAAATATATTCGAATACCAAACAAGTTACCAAACATATGTAATTCGTTACCTTTTAAACGTGTTGACAAACATAGTTAAAAAAAACTCTGCAAAATATTTTTCTGCAAAGTGTTTACGTATATAAATATTATTCCTGTATAAATGTTTGTGCACGAACCAAACGTTCCTTAACAGAAACGCAAGAAATTCGATGAAAAAAACCAATTTCACACTAGAAGCAACCTAGATCTAAAAATTACATAGATGATCTTTCACCGAAAAATACCTTGCCGAAAAGAAAAATAGTCCTTATTTTTAAGTGACGAGATTAATTGGAGATTGCAGATTACTTAAAAACTATTTACAGCAGTAGGCCCAAACATGGAATCACATAAAATCGATCCAGACATAGTAGGGCTCTAATACCATGCGAGAATGCTATATTCTGTTCATCGATCAATTGTTGTTAAAGTGGGGTGATTTATACGGAAAGGAAGGCACGTATATGAAGTGTAGAGTTAGCCGTTGCTATATGTGTAAGATAATTTTTATACAATTGAAGTATACAATTGTGCACATGCAATATACCGTTGTGATATTTGTGCACAACAGTAGGGGTGGCAATGGACTCAAAAACGACCCGGGACCTGACAGCTCTATCCGATACGAGTCTGGGTATGGGTCCAAATATTGGATTCGACAGGTCAGGTTTGAGTCCAAATCATAGTTACCGGGAGCGCTTCGTGGCTGGGATCTCATCCGGAACCCGTTCCCTACTTTTTTGGAGCTCGCTTCTATTTTTAGGATTCTCAATCCCATTCATAATGGAGCTCGCTCCCGCTACCGCACAGATCTCGCTCCCGCTACCGCACAGATCTCGCTCCCATTGTCCCGCGAAACGCGTTCCCAAACAAATTAGATCCCCACTTCCAAAATTTTAGGATTGCGATCCCTACTTTCCGAGAACTCCATCCATAGATAGGATCCCACCATGAACAAAAATAGAGCCACCCATCATTAAAATATTAGGGTTATCAACTAAAAAACACAAAGAAATTAGGCCTTTAGGACTCAAAGCAGCTATACTAGCCCTAATTCTAGATGGGTAATTTTTGGGTACTTCATTAAAAATGTTAATTTGCTTTTCCAATCCTTTACAAAGGATTTTCATTTGAATTCCTATAGAAAATCACTCACCCCAATTCTGGAATTCGTCAATGCCAACTTTCATAACGTACTTGAAATTTCCTTGTATATTCAGGCTTTCATGGTTTCCTTGTAAAATTAACAACTTCCCATTTCATTTCTCTGCGTCTTGTTTGAGTTTTTCTAAAAAATAAAGGAGCCTCAACCCTTCTCCTCCTATGTTAAGGATATCACCAAGCTTGACAACCATGGAGTTGCCAGCAATCCAGTGAATAATTTTTCATCGAAGATTTTAGCTATTTTCAGAGCACGTTTGGCCTTTTGGAGATCGCCATGGAGGTCCCCAACTGCTAGCAAGAGAGGTTGAAAGGAGAGAGAAAGCGTCCACTCACTGTGAAGTTAGACGAATGTGTTCATGAAGTTAGAGAGAGAAAGGCGTGTTTTGGCAGATGGTTCCATTGGATTAGGGGTGCGGAGGTTGAAGAGGTGGTGAATGTCTAGTCAAGAGAGAGAGATAGGGAGAGAGGGAGAGAGAGAGAGAGGACAGGTGAAGATTGGCTTCAAGTTAAGGGGAACGCGATCCAACCTTGAATGGAGCTTGATCAATTCCAAACAGGAACACATTTTTCTTAGATAGGGGTGCGACTCAACTTTAAATGGGAACCCGTTCCTGTTGCATATGGGATCGTGATCCTAATGAGCATGGGAATACAATCTCCTTTTACATGGAATGCGTTCCCGTTAAATAAGGACATCAATCCCAATGTATCGGGAATGCGCTTCCTGTTCATACGGGATCTCGATCCGCAACTTTTACCCTCACAATAACTCGCTCCTCAAGTTCCGGAGCTTTAGACAGCCCTCGATCCGATGCTCCAGCACTAGAGCTGTTCCCGCTTCAGCTCCGGGATCTAGGTCCCACGTATTTTTGGGTCTTAATTTATCAAAAATAATAAACATACTTAAATACGTAGGTATTTTAATATTTGGGTCAAGTCCGGATTTGGGTCCCCATTATATTTTCGAGTCCAAGACCCGGTCCCAACCTGACTCGGCCCATTGCCACCCCTAAGACAAGAGAAAGAGATTTGATACTCGCTATGACCAACATTAATGGGTGGACAACACAAACCCAATTGGAGTCGCAAATATTCATTTTTGATACTTTCTTCCACTTTTGAAACACACAGATAAGGATGATCCGAGATATCTCAATTGCCTTGTTCCAATGGGACCATTGCTGTCGCCCTCTTAACAGAATCACATTATGTAGGGCAGTGTTTAAAAAAACACCGAGTCGAACCGGACTCGCCTGGTTCGACTCGGGAATTGCCATGGACGGATCGAATCAACGAAAAAAACGGGAATCGTCAGGTTCTTGAGAGAACCGGACGATTCTGTACAGCGACTCGCCTATTCACTGTACGGAATCGGCGAGTCCGTACAGTGAATCAGAGAGTCCGTAACGAATTTTTTATTTTTTATTTTATTTTTAATTTTTTTTATTTTTTTTATTTTTTATTTTTGTAATCCATGATATATTTTTTTGTAATACTTGATCGATTGTTTTGTAATCCATGATCGAATTGTTTTTTTTTTTTGTAATCCATGATCGAATTTTTTGTTTTTTGTTTTTTTTTGTACTGATAGAATTTTTGTAATCCATGATCGAAT